GACCGTTTAACATCTCTACATATGGCTGATTAAACCTCTTATTCTGGATCAAACCTTTCATTACCAAACATAATAATCGTTTGGCTCTTTTACATGTTTATTACATATTTTCACAGAAAACGGGGAGAGGGTGCATTCTCACCGGGTGGAGCGCCCCATAAAAAGGTGGGTCTAGATGCACCTTAGTGAGGTTCCACGAAATTTATGACTCATTTTCCATATAGAATCAATGTGAGACAATTCACAAGTGATATTACAACCAAAATAAAATGATAAATAAATCATACATAAAAAAGTTATTAATAAACAATAATGCAATTTGAAAATTATTAACAAAAATAAATCACAAATATAAATCTATATATATATATTATTTATTTTTTGAATCAGTTACTAAATTAATTCTAAATTTGGTAACAAAATATTCAAATGTATAACGGCTAATGTTGTAACTTAAAATTGATTGCACGTTCAGAGCTTTAACCGCTATATTTGGTTGCATTGTTGGAAGAAAAATATGACTGTCACACTTTTTCTTCTAATAGTCATCAGAAACGCCAATAATTTTTTTTATTATGTTAATTTTCTTAATATATGCCACAAATATATAAATTATTTTATTCATTTTACTAATGTAAACGTTGCATGGTTAAAATAAAATTTAAATCTCAATTAATTTTGAATAATAAAAATAACTTAAGAAAAAGTAATAATTTTTATATGATAGAAGTACATGTCTAATTAATAAATACAAACAAAACATGTTTTATCTTTGTGCAAATGCACATGATCAAATTCTAGTATTTGTAAAGAGAGACAATCTAATTAATGCTATTTTAAAAATTTGTGCGCTCATATTTTCATCTAAAATTGAAAACTAACTGTTACATTTTGCATTATTTGGGTATAATTTTAGATTTATAACTATTCAATCATATAATAGTTACTAATAAATTAACTAATTATATATTCACACTAGAAGTTACACATTATAAAATATTTTATAGCAGAACTCCTTATTCAATGTATTTGTGTTATAATTGATATTATAGTTTTGTTTTTATATCATTAAGTATTTTTATAAGTATCTAATTGATTTTAATGGCATAAAAGTAATTATCCATAAAATCACGTAAACTATAACAATAATTTTAATATTTTTTATTTAATGAATTACTCTCGACACCTTAAATCTATAAAATTTTTATTATTCATTAAAATTTATGCAATTCATATATAAGTGAAATATCTTATAATTATATTGTTCGTTTTTACTAATGATCATATTTATAAATTGAGATATGCCGCATTATTTAACTTATGATTTCAAATATAATAACTATACATATAACTAATAATATCGTATTTGTATTTGAGCATGTGCACTATATTCGAATACTAATTTATTTATAAATAGTGAAAATTAGTACTTCTAACAAACAAGTGAAAATCAATTCAGCTATTTTGGTTGGGTTCTACATAATCATATTGAATTTGAAACTATTAAATGATGTATGTATGTGCAATAAAGTCATTTTCATATTGCCTCTTTCAACACGAATGGGATTTGAAAAGACAACAAAACCACCTTTTTCTATCATTAACTGGAATTTATACGAAAATACAATTTAAAAACCATAGTCATTCGATTTGGTCATGGAAATTTATGAAAAAAAAAAAGATTATAACAACTTGTGCTTAAATTAATTGTTCCATGGTGAGAAGACAACATTCTTTCATCAAACTATTAAAAATCTAATGTAAAAAAAATAAAAAAATACTAAAAATCATACATTTTTGACAAATATATATAATTTCAAACTAAAATATCATATTTCAAAAAAAAAAAAAATAATAATACAAATCAACATATGATATTTCGTAGCAGAAATATACATTTTTTATTAAATGCCATACTTTAGAAACAGCAATAAATAAATTATAACATTTCGTAATATAAGTATGTATTTTAAATGAACAATTTTGTTATGGAGCCATCGGATGACCCGACTTATAGAGCCATCCATACTTATCCACCAATAGTATATTGACACGTGTCTTATAATAAATAAAATTTAGACAGATGTCAACTTAAGTGGTGGATGACTCCATAAGAAAGTCATCCGATGACTCTATAGATTTTTTTTTTAAACTAAAAAATTACACGGGACATCGATTCGCCTAACGAATATATCAACTCTCACAATTATTTGTAATTATGTACAAATTATGTAAAAGAAATGTACACATAATTTCCATAAGTTATTACACTCACTAATTAAACCTTGTCTAAACCATAGTTAAATGCTTACCCCTTTGTCTACTTAGTAATTAATTTGCCTTGGTTTTAGGGCAACTATTGACTTGCCTCAATTAAAGTAAAAAAAAATAAAAATTAGACTAATCAAAATTTAAACTCCTTCACTCACTACAATACCTTGGTCATTTCAATGCCACACAATATAATAATAAAAATTAAATTAAAACAAATTAAATTAAATTAAAAAAAAAACCACTAATTGAACTACCAAAATCAAACCAAAATCCGACAACGTAAGTAATGGAATAATTATATTAGTATTATAATCACTAAACAAAAAACAAAGCCTAACCAATTTCAAAGGAAAAAAAAAATTAAAATAAAATAATAATAAAAAAAAAAAAACTGAAAATAATAGGTTAGGCTTGCTTTTTAAGATCTTTGTTGTTATGTATGTATGCTGGCCTCTGAAGGCACATCAGAAGTTTCTTCAGATCCGAAGAAAAAGGTGAGAATTATTATATAGATCCCTTTTAAAAAGGAACTAGATTACAGTAATAAAGATCACATTTTTATCACAAAAATGGAAGAAAAATAGGAACAGAACAAAAAAAAAAAAAATGGTTTTTTTTTTTTTTTTTTGCTGAAAGGCCCCTTCTTGTGTACGTGTGTGAACACTCACTGTGCACACTGTGTACGTATTGTATACACACAGTATAGTGAGAGAAAGTAGTTGTAAAAGGGACTTTATGTGTGTGAGTGGGGCTGTGTATGAATATGGCAGAATAAAAAGAGGGAGTTCCAATCGTCTTTTTGCCTTGATTTTTTTGGTTTTGTTGATTAATAATAGTTTTTAAATTTTATTAGGGTTTTAAAGGGGAAGAGCAGATGATTTAGGATGTGGGTTTTCGATTTTGTGGAGAACACATTCTAAAGATTTGATTTTTTTTTTTTTTTTTTTTTTTTTTTTTTTT